TTACATATATACACACACACACATATACATATACACACATACATATATACACACATACATATATACACACACATTATATATACACATTTATATATAAAATTTTTAATAAAGTCAAATAAATGAAACTAAACACCTACTTAAAGGAGTATAAAAATACAATAAATTTCAAATATTTTAAAATAGTAATGCAAGTAAATATTCACAAATATAAAATTAACATGTACATTAATATGAAAGGCAGCTAATGAAAAAGGAGTATAAAAATGCATTTAAAATACTAATTTTATTGTATATGAATACATTTGTATATATATTAAAACATGAAAGGCAAATGAATGAAACTATTGAGTATTAAATACAAAATGTAAATTTTAAATTCAAATAATGGTGATATGTAAATAAATATATTTACAAATATTAAATTAATATGTACATTAATATGAAAGGCAAATAAATAAAATGAAAAACTAACTTAAATACAAAATGAGTTTCAAATATGATAAAATACTAAAATAATGGTGATATATTTAACTTAATTTTATATTTATATTAATACATTTATTTATATTAAATAAAATTCATATAAAAAGGCAAAAATAGTGAAAAACTAAATTACAATAAAAATACAGTATAAATGACAAAATGTACAATATTTTGAAATATTAAAATAATGGTGAAATGTATTAATATATTCATAAATATAAATTAATGTATTTTCAATTTAATATGAAAGGCTAATACAATATACACACATATATACTAACCTGCATGAGTAAAATTAATGTTGATATTTATATAAAATTTATATTAAATAAAAAACAAATTAATATGAATAAAAGTAAAATAAATAAAAAACAAATATAAAATAAATATTTAAAACAATTAAAATATCAAAAGATAAATAAAAAATATATATACACACAATGCATTTGAACAATGTAAACCAATAATATTAGGAATAGAAGTATGAAATGTTATACCATGGCCCTCTAATTTGTCTGATTCTGCAGCGTCGGGTTCATCTGTGACTCCTTGTTCATCATTTGAACAGTGTTCTTCATCAATGCTGCTTTCCTGCACAGACCAAATCATCACATTTGTTCTGCATTAGCGTTTTAACCAGTTGACCTCGCATTAAAACACATCACTTGCACAACATGAGAGATTCTGCCGATCACAAACCTGCTGTAGGGACTGTGTGCGGGGGGTGCTGGTGCTTGCCGGCCGACTGGAGTCCGAATGGAAAATGGAGGGATAAAACACAATGAGGGTCTCCACTATGCGGGCCTGGTACGGGTAATCCACCAGAGACGACAGAGACACCGTGGCCCCTGAGGGCCGGGGCCGCATCAGTGAGGGGCCAAACACGATGCCCAGATTGCTCGGGCTCATCTTATTGTCATCTTCCAGTTCTGCAATCCTGAAAATAGGGACATTAACCAAATAATCAGTGTTTAATAAAAACAGAGTTTGGCAAAGCAAGTCTATAAACCCTGAAACATGAGAGGAAGTCAATTCTATATTTTGCACCTTCTCAGGTGGCGCGCTATGTAGCGGAGAGTGGCGATGTTTTGTTTGGGCAGCTCTTTAAGGAGATTCTTAAGTCTGTCCACGAGGGCCAAGAGTTCAGGGTCCGTCTCAGGGCCGAGGTCCACCAGGTCGGGCCCTTTGCCCGTCTCGGCTCCCTCTGGACCCACTACAGCCAGGCTTTCCTTCGCCAGACCCATCAGACTGTTGTACAGACGGAAGGGCATGATGGGCTCTGGAAGCTGAGGAAAAACCAAACACACAAAATAAGGATGCAACAACTGACTGTGGTGAATGTATGATGAGGATATGAAAGCCACTGCTAACAATGAAGGCAACTTATTCATAGGGAACAGTTAAAGGATGTGTTCATCAAGAATGTAAGATGTTATAATATAACAAAAAATATATAATAATTATAAATATTTATATAATTATTTATAATTTTGGTGAATGCAAAAAAGGTATAATATTAATAATTATATGTATTAATAACTGAAAATGTAAATAAAATCCAGTATAACATACAAAATAAAAATACACTATTAAGCGGCTGTGTTATGAACATGCAAAACTCTATCGCACGCGTGCTACAGTGGTAAATTTATTCATCGCACAGACCAGGTTTTTCGTAGCACGTGCGACATATATGTCGCACTGTACAGCCCTGACTATTCTATAAATAATCAATTAGTTACATTGATTCTAAGTGTTAATAATATAATTTTAATATAAAGTACACCATTTTATTAATTATCAAAAAATGTTTTTAGTAAAATAATTATTATATTTATATTTTTAAATATAATATATCAAAAAATTAAATTATATTAATAAATTTGGGGAACCGAAAATGCAAATTCTGTTATATTTTCATACATTTTTATATGCTGCATTCGGTTATATTAAAAGTTGAGTACACTATTAGACTATTATTTAAATTTAGGATAACTCAATGCAAACTGTTATATTTTCATTAATATAATTAAATTTTCATATAATTGTACATAATATACAAAACCCAAAAATACCATTTCATGCAATATTATGTTCAATGATATTGCTAAATGTAGATAGCAGAAAAAAGTTAAATTTAAATTAATAAGTTTGTTATTTGGGTGAACCCTACAAATGCAAATTTGATAGGTTTTAATATAATCTATATATAAAAATAATTTATATTTATAATATAATTTAATAGAAACATTTATAAATTGAGTAATTGAGTAGTAGCAGTGTAAGCCAAAAATACTAATTGTTATTTTTAACAAATATTTTACTATACAAAAAATACAATATATACAAAATAAATTATATTATTAATAAATGAGTTACATTTGGGTGAACCAAAAATGCTAACTGTTAAATTGTCAATAATAATAATAATAATAATATTTTGTAATTTTTATATAATATACAAAACCAAAAAAAAAAGCAATTTCCACAATATTATATAAAATGATTTTGCATAAATGTAGTGGTGGCTCACCTGTCGCAGGTAGAGCTTCAGTACGTTACTGATGTCGTGTGGCGAGGACTGGGACAGCTCCACCAGCTCTTTGCCGTTCTCAAATGCCTGGCAAAGCTTCTCCACCCGCGTCTTCACCCCATTCACTCGATAAATACCCTGACAGCGAAGAGGACGATCAGAACCATCTTGCATTTCTATCTGCTGGATCTGACCAGACGCTTGCATACCTTCATCCTCAAAGCTCTTCTCTCGATCTCACCGATGCACTTCTTGATGATGAAGGGGATGCCGTCGGGACTGTTGCCGGACACCTGCGAGAAATCCTGCCCGAACAGCTGAAGGCGACCCTGGAGCTTCTTGTGGCCACACTGAATGGCCAAAGTCTCCAAGCAGCGTTTGTGACAGGCCAGGAAACACTGCCAAGAGCAAGTCACACTTGAAACAGCCTGCTTGATTTCAAACACAAGGCCAAAGCGCAGCCGATGTGACCTCACCTCCTCGCACTCGGCTCCCTGGAAATAAACGTAGCTGTCGCATTCTCTGCATTTGGACGGGGAGCGCAGTTTACGCAGTTTGTGCGTCTGAGCGGCTTTCGACAGCCCCACGTTCCGGAACGGCCCAGTGGGAACCACAATCTCAGACTCGATGCCATTTATGTCTGCAAAATATTGAACGGACAGTGAGAAACTAGATGACAGGCACAGATTAGAAAGGAAAACACTTGTGTATCATTTTAATCTCACTTGGCGTTTCAAAGGAAGTAACATTTGAGTCTTTCTCATCTGCGTCTTCGTTTGATGACATGGTTCCTGTAGACGACGTTCGGGCCATTTTACTTATGTCACCTACAAAATAAACAAAAATACAATATTATATATATTATTATAGTAAATGTTTACGTTTAATATATTTTAGTCATGGCAAGAAATTGTACCCGTGCTGGTAGTGGGGGATCCCAGGCCACTTCCTCCTCCCACACTGTCTGTGTCGCTCACTGTGGAGCCCCAGGATTTGTGGGTCATGTGACCTCGAGCTGACAATAAAAACAACAATTCAGAACCATTTGCATAACTATTTTAGATATTCAAACATACCCAAAAAACGAAACCAAACAAGCACCTCTTGAAAGCCCCGAACATCTATAAATAAAAACCTTCATACTGTACATATTTGACAAAACATTTAAAATATAAACAAATATCTTTTTTATTCGATTATATTTATAAATTATATTTAAATTTCCAGGAACAAATTTGTGTTATATTATCTTATCTAATCATTATATTAACTAATATTATCTAATATTTAATCAGAATTATGTATTAAAATAATTAAAACACAAATTATATATTACAATTTTGAATAATCTCATATATTAATATAATTAGATTTTAATAGAATATATAGAATTAATTTTAATTAAATTAATTGATTAATAAAACTTGAATGAATTTGACAAATTTAAATCCATCAATTAATTTAAGTTTCATATAACAGAACATAAAAAAGCCCTATTAAAATAATACATTT